CTCAACCCTCCGTGCAGAGCCGTGGAGGACCAAGTCCTTCTGGTGGAGCGAGCTCCAAGTCCCTCTGGAGACTGTGACCCAGTCAAGTCCAATTGATTTAAAACAGCAGCTGCTACCAAAGTGCTTAACAATAAGATCAAAGGCGGTAACTAAAGGAAAAAACAACAAGATGTAATTAAAAGCATCAAAAGTAAAACATAAAAAACAAAACAGTGAAATACTAAGTCAAATCACACTTTCAGAAAAAACAGTTGTGTTTTATTAAAAATGTACAAACAGGAAGTGAAGGGATCTGTCTAATGTTGGGGGGCAGATTGTTCCAGAGTTTAGGGCCCACGACTGAAAAAGCCCGACCTCCTCTGAACTTAAATCTTGTTTTTGGAACAACCAAAAGCAGCTGGTCAGATTATCTCAGCGCCCGAGAAGGAACATGTGGTTGAAGTAGCTCAGAGATACGAGGGCGCAAGGACATTAATTCACTTAAAGGTCAACAGGAGAATTTTTAAATTAATTCTGATCCGTACAGGGAGCCAGTGAAGGGAGGACAAAACTGGTGAAATATACTCAAACCTACGAGTTCCTGTTAAGAGCCGAGCTGCAGCGTTTTGGACGAGCTGGAGACGTAGTTGAGAGTCGTCATAAAGAGCAGGACTGTTTCCTCGTCTTGGGTGGAATCGACCAATTACTGCCTGGCAAAGATGTCGTGGCTTCATCCAGCGGGTAGCAGTCGACCCCGGGGGCGAGCTCCTCAGCTGGTGGAAAGACTGAAACCTGGTGTTGCCTTTCCTCCAGAGGGACACGCTTGCAAAACTAGAAGGAGGTCTGCAGAGTCATGGACATACCCACGAGCTTAATAATGAGGAAACTCTCGCAAATGGCATGCAGGCCAAAACTCGTAATGTATCTGGTTGGACAGGCTCGACACAGGTGAACTGTTCCACTGGATGTTCTCTTCTTTATGACGTGGCAACTATTTTCACATATTCATCGATATCATAGTGCCACACTAAGGACACAACTTGAGAAGTACTCGCAGTACTGTCCCACTTCCAGCACTGTCCCACACGGCTCATGTTCTACTTGGTATCTCCACTAAGTTTTCTGTGTTTTGTGTTTTCTTCTGCTGATTGTGTAGGTGTTGGACTGGCCAACTGCTTCAGAACACTGGACATTATATTAGTTTACGTCTGTGTGTTTGCTCTGCTCTTGCCCTCGCTGCTCATTGAACTCTACTGCAGCGTGTTCATTCTAAGGATTCTTCTAAAGTCTGGTCCTGGAGACAAGGACGCTCAGCAGAGGAGGGAAGGAAACCAGCAGAAGAAGAGGGCTGCTAAAATCGTTTGGATTATGTTGTTCATGTTAGTCCTAAATGCACTTCCGTTCATTATTGTACCTTTACTCAAAAGAGGCAGTCTACTTTTCTACGACGTGGCATTGACATGTTCCACCCTTGGATGTTCCGTGCAGGCGGTTTTATTCCTCAGCAGGTTTGGAAAGATGTCATGTAAGCTCCAACCCTGAGATGTTTCTAGAATGGTACCAGAAACTGGTGGTGCTGGACAGACAGTTCTAACCCATCTCAATGTTCTCTACACGACTTTACTTCAGGTAAACAACAGCTGAAAAGTTTGCATTATTATTATTAATAAAATTTGTTTTACATTTTTAGTTTTAAATACACAGATCAGCCATAACACCTGACAAACCACCTGACTTGTACTGAACAAAACTGTCCTGACTTCTGGAATCAGGCTCCAAGTCTTCTGTAGCAGATAGAGTGCTGACAGTACCTGCTCTGCGGGATGGTCATCCATCCATCCATCCATCTAGCAGATAGTGCTGACAGTGCCTGCTCTCTGCAGGATGGTCTAATGTTCATCCATCCATCCATCCATCCATCCGATAGTGCTGACAGTGCCTGCTCTCTGCAGGATGATCTAATGTTCAGCCATCCATCCATCCATCCATCCATCCATCCATCCATCCATCCATCCATCCAGCAGATAGTGCTGACAGTACCTGCTCTCTGCAGGATGGTCTAATGTTCAGCCATCCATCCATCCATCAGATAGTGCTTACAGTACCTGGTCTGTGGGATGGTCATCCATCCATCCGATAGTGCTGACAGTACCTGCTCTCTGCAGGATGATCTAATGTTCAGCCATCCATCCATCCATCCATCCATCCATCCGATAGTGCTGACAGTACCTGCTCTCTGCAGGATGATCTAATGTTCAGCCAGCCATCCATCCATCCATCCATCAGATAGTGCTGACAGTACCTGCTCTCTGCAGGATGATCTAATGTTCAGCCATCCATCCATCCGATAGTGCTGACAGTACCTGC